CCACCCACCACCACCACTTTGGGAACAGTGAAGTGCTTGAAATAAAACCCCTGCAACTTTTTTGACTCTAATACAGAAACCCTAACCCCCTGAGCAAGAAGCTGACCTAGGGCAGTGAAAAGTTCCACCCATCTTTGGGGTGACCTTGGCAAGTCTGACAGTAGAAAGTAAGGAGGTAAGCAGTGAAACTCCAGCTTGTAACCCTTGGATATTAGCTATAGGCTCTGTCACATATGGACAGACAGAAGACCCATCCAGGAGTTATATCTAAGGCTATCTGCAACACCATCTACACAGTAGGGCAAGGCCACAGGAAAGAGAGCTGACCATGTTAGAGTTGTGAGGTCTGTTAAGATGTATTCAGGGACCCCAGCCATATCCTTTGACCATACGGTTAAGGTGTGGTACATCACTATGGTGGCAACAGCAGGTTGCTTAGCAAAGCCTGCACAGCAAATAAGGCCCTAGATAAGATAAGAGGCCCCAGATAAGAGCAGTACCTTGGCAGCTGTCATGTGACCATCTGTGGAAGGGAAGAAGGTGCACTGTTTTCTCAAGCAAAAGGAAGTATTTCAGTATCTCTGTAACTATCTATTACTGCAAAACCATAAACGTTCAAACCGTAATGCTTTAAAAGTTCCGACTTGGCTTTACCTCAAGATGCTCCCACTTATTGTTAGGTACGTTTGACTTACTTGGGTAAGAATAGGGGACCGGTGCACACATACACGTTCCTATTACTCTTGGTTAGTGTTCGGCAGTATTGCTCCAGGTTGTTCCAGGCGTTTTGATTGAGATTTGGATTCTGAAAGAGTAAAAGTGAATGTCACATCAATGTGCAATACAACTGATCCCTTACAATGATGAAAAAGCTACATCAACCTGGTTTCATTTACAATAAGCCTGCCATCAGAATGAAGTCCCTGCACATACCTTTTACCATTTAGAAGTAGTTTTCTGCACAGCTCACAATCTCCTGGATTGGATTACACTTTGCAAACAGAGGCCTTAGTCTGGTTCCCAGTCATAGCACACACCACCTCCCTGATTTGGGTTGGCACCCGTCCTGTATAATACGGTATTGCCCCAGATATTAACAGAAACTGCATCCAAGATTGATTTAATAAGGAATGCAGTTTGTCCCACATTTATTCATGAGCTTCCATGGAGAAGGGGTGTCATTCATTGTTATGGTGCGGTTGGCTGTCTGCCCACACCATAGAAAAGCATGACACTGACCCAGGGTGGGCAGCATCTAGGGCCACTCTAGCAATCAGAGGACAGAAGGAAGCCTCCATCCAGACCTGCTCCATATTCTGCCCTGTGCCGTGCTGCCACACACAGACAAGGTAGGACTGTGATGTGAAGGGGGCGGGGGGGGGAACGGTGATGTGAAGGGTGCAGTAGGGGGAAGTAGTGAAAGGAGGGACAGTGACATCGAGGTGGGGAATTCGTATAAGTGAACCTCTGACATGAAAGGGGAACTCTAAGGCTCCAGTGATCTATTCCAAACCACATGTCATTGTATCGCATATGATTACACGCAGAGTACCGCTTACAGATTTAGCCGCTGCCACCCGGTCATTTTCTTGGGTGACAGCGGCCGCTTCTAAATGGAATATTTGCGATTCCTGCAGTGTTGCTGTGTATCACCTGCACTCCACATGTCGTTTGTAGACCATGAAGTTCCTAAGCTGTGGTGCTTGAAGTGATCACACGGATGGCGCAGAGCGTACTCAGGAATGGATTAAGGGATCACCAGCACTCACAAAATCCAAAAGACGTGGATATCTTCTTTGTACATTTATGAAACCGTCATATGTCATAATAGGCAACATTTCGGGGCCACGCAGGGTCCCTTCCTCAGGGCAACATTTTGACAACTGGTAAACTTCATCTTCCTTTAAGACTCATGTTTAAGGGCAGAAGAAAGTCTAGGGGTAAAGAAAATTGTATTCAGCTTATTGCTCATGTGATTTCTGTTGATGAAGGGAGGGGGATTAAATCAGATTGGGCTCTGAACCTCCCCTTTGGCAAAGATCACATACTTACCATTCAAATCTGTTTCTTGGATTGCAGTACAGGACACAGGCAGATTCAGAGATGACTGGGTAATATGTAGGTATCATCAGGCGACTGGACACTGGCCAGAGGTGTGAGGAACCCCATATAACTCATCCCACTTAAAGGGTTTCTAAACCCTCCGTTTTTTTTTTAACTTTTTTGCATATATCTACTGCTTACTAGCAGTAGATATATGCGAAAAGTAAAAAAAAAAAAAAACACGCTTTAAAAGTGGTTTAAACTTACCCCTGTCTTCGCTGCGCCCTCCATTCCGAAAATCCGAAACTGATCCAAAGCATCTTGGGGCGGGCACATGCGCAGTTCGGATTTTCGGCCGGGACACGAGGAGAAAAGCAAGGTAAGTCTATGGACGTGTGCAACCGCATGCAGACACCATGGGACAGGAAGTACCAGCAAGGACAGAGGAGTCAGCGCTGGATCGGAGACCCGCAGCAGTGCTGGAGATAAGGCTGAACAGGACAGGAAAGAAGAGGAAGATCGGATTAAGAGACATCATTTAAGGTAAGTGCTTTAATTAGCGTTGGGGGGGGGAGAATTTGACTTAAATGTCACTTTAAGGAAATCTTCATTTTTTAGAAAGTAATGAACGACATAGATGGGAGGGTCCTACTCCAAGATACTATTTTACTGGTAAGTCAAAAATCCAAAATTTCTTGATCGTACAGTACTGGACACATGCAATTTAGGGACAACTGGAGTGTTCAAAAGCAATAAAACAGAGGGGTGGGCAACACAGCAAACAATTGCCAACAGGCCCACATAACAAAAACAAGGAAAATGCCCTTTTCAGACAGAAGCCAGCAGCACATTACAGCCAAAACCAGCATCGGCAGAGGCCCAAACATCCACCTGGTAGAAGTTAGTAGACGTGTGAACAGAAGACCATATAGTAGCCTTGGGCTTTATAGCTTTAAAGCTGTAAAGCCCAAGAGCCACCCACTGACAGATATAGTAAAGTGTGCCCTCACATGAAAAGGTGGAGCTTTACCATTAGCAGAATAAGCATGACAACCCACAAACAGCCCAAACCACATCAAAGCAGTGGAGGGAAACCTCCCTAGGATGTTTTGGAGCCGGATAAAGGGAAGAAAGGACAATGCCCCGATTGGGGTGAAACAAGGACACCACCTTAGGCAGAAAATAATTTCTAGGTCCGAGAACAAATTCATCCTTGTGAAGAACAAGGAATGGTTCCTTGCATGCAGGTGCTGTCAACTCCGAAATCTTACTAGCAGAGGCGATGGCGACAAGGAAGACCAACTTTTGTGTAATATCCACCAGAAAGATACACTATATTGCCAAAAGTATTGGGACACCCCTCTCATTGGATTCAGGTGTTTAAAATCAAGCACCTCGGCATGCAGACGCTTCAACAAACATTTGCGAAAGAATGAGTCGCTCATAGGAGCTCAGTGAATTCAAGCGTGGTACCATGATAGGTTGTCACCTGTGCAATAAGTCCATGCATGAAATTTCCTTGCTACTAAATATTCCACGTTCACCTGTTAGTGGTATTATAACAAAGTGGAAGCAACTGGGAACCACAGCAACTCAGCCATGAAGTAGTAGGCCACGTAAAATGACAGAGCGGGGTCAGCGCATGCTGAAGCGCACAGTGCCCAGAAGTCGCCAACTTTCTGCAGAGTCAATAGCTACAGACCTCCAAACTTCGTCTGGCCTTCAGATTGGCACAACAACAGAGCTTCATGGAATGGGTTTCCATGGCCGAGCAGCTGCATCCAAGGCTTACATCACCAAGTGCAATGCAAAGCGTTGGATGCAGTGGTGTAAAGCACGCCGCCACTGGACTCTAGAGAAGTGGAGACGTGTTCTCTGGAGTGATGATTCATGCTTCTCTGTCTGGCAATCCGATGGACGTGTCTGGGTTTGGTGGTTGCCAGGAGAACGGTACTTGCCTGACTGCATTGTGCCAGGTGTAAAGTTTGGTGGAGGGGGCATTATGGTGTGAGGTTGTTTTTCGGGGGTTGAGCTTGGCCCCTTAGTTCCAGTGAAGGGAACTCTTAAGGCATCAGCATACCAAGACATTTTGGACAATTTCATGCTCCCAACTTTGTGGGAACAGTTTGGGGTTGGCCCCTTCCTGTTCCAACATGACTGCACACCAGTGCACAAAGCAAGGTCCATAAAGACATGGTTGAGCGAGTTTGGGGTGGAGGAACTTGACTGGCCTGCACAGAGTCCTGACCTCAACCCTTTGTGATGAATTAGAGCGGATGAATTAGACTGCGAGCCCGGCCTTCTCGTCCAACATCATTACCTGACCTCACAAATGGTCAAACATTCCCATAGACACACTCCTAAACCTTGTGGACGCCTTCCCAGAAGAGTTGAAGCTGTTATAGAGGGTGAGCCAACTCAATATTGAACCCTACGGACTAAGACTGGGATGGCATTACAGTTCATGTGCGTGTAAAGACCGGCGTCCCATTACTTTTGGCAATATAGTGCATCTCTGATAGTTTTAAAAGGGAGCTTGCTGGAAAAATAAAAGCACCAGATTGAGATCCTACAGTGTCACTGAAGGGCGTCTAGGGGGAGCCACATAAGCGACCCCCTGCACAGAGGCCTCTTATTCTTTATCCATACCAACAAGACTATTATCTTAACTTTAAAGGTGATAGGGCAGTAGACTGAGTTCCAGCAACTAATAAGGGTTGATCGATAAACTATGAAATGCTAAACAATCATTTTGGTGCTGCATTAATACTGGAAATAAAAAATAAATGATTGAGTGTAGGGAAGTCTCCGCAGACGTAGTGTAGTAGATAATCAGTGACTCAGTCATTTTGGAGTCTGGTGTGACTCCTTCAGCAGTGCGATTCCTATGCATGGGTAAAGCCCACAGTAGCAGGAGCATGCCCCTTTGCTTTCTGTCCACCCTCAGAGTGGGGGTCATATTATCAAATGGTCTGATGTGTCCCCCAATGAAAGCTCACAGGAAATAAGTCATCACACTGGGGACTCTTCCTGTGCTCCCCTTAAAGGAGCAGAGGATAAACACTACATGAAATGAAATGGATCTGAGAGAAATGGACTTGAATAAAGGATAAAATCATGTGGGGAAGATATGTATTTAAATATAATTTATTAGAAGTGTAAGATTAAGGGGATCTCTTATGGATGGAGTGGTTGAAGAGGAAGGGAAAATAATAAGTATTATGTAATTGAATGAATGAATGTATATGTTTATGGGAAACATGTTTTATATATTTAAATGTATATGTATATATGTTATATTTGAAAAATTTAATAAATATATTTTTTTTTAAAAAAAGAAATAAGTTATCACTTTTATACATGGTGCATGTACCCTTTAAAAAAGAATTACAGCAGAGAAAACCATGGGGCACCATTGGATATAATTGTTGTTGGGTTGGTGTAAGCAAATATCCGATGGATGAAAACAATACCACTGACCTGCGGGTACACATTACTCAGTAGGAAAGTTTCATCCATAGCCTGCTGGCTCCACTTATGATTGGCGGCTGCCGCCAGGTGTCCCCGGTCGAATCCACTTCTCCGGTAGTCTGAGTTTGTGGCCTGGTGGTAACGATGTACAGATTCATCTGCTTTGAAGTCACAGTTCTTCCGGTCAGCTGTGCCCTGTATGCGCTCGCTGTTCAGTTGTTCTAGAACCCACGCTGGGCCACGCAGTCTTGAATCATAGCTGAGGATGTGTGACTGGCGAGTCTTAAGCTGGCTGATGCCAGGCAATCCAAATCGAGTGATGGCAGAAGCCGGGGGGAGAGACACCTCTGATGCTGCCTGTACGATTGGATATAGAGAGTCAGATCCAGTCTTGTCATGTAGTCTCCAGTTAGTCACCCCTGCACCCAGTGCAGCGCCAACCGCCAGGGATAACCCCGAAACCACAATCTGGCTTCTAAGTCTCATTTTCAAACAATGAAACCGTCACCGCCGTCTTCCTTATACATGTAGGAAAAGTGAGCACATTCTTCAATCCTGTTGCTGTAAAACAAAAGAATCCCATTGTATATTTTCCATGTCTCAGACAAACCTCTCTGACATGTAGATAAATTATTGGATTTTACATATACTCACAATGTTGCTGTGTGGTCCCAATTAAACGGCCAATAGACATAAATCACAACCCATTTTATAGGAGAAGTATTTTACATGTGCCTATAGTTCTACTTTAACAACATCTATATATCAAAACAGTCTCATTATCAGAAGAATAACTATTTAAATCGAGAATTGTCAAAAATTTTAAACAAAAGTATTCATTAAGACCATTCAGAGGAATTATGCTTATGATGGCGGCCAGTCACATGACCTAATGCCCACACATCTGGTCCCATAATATCTCTTAAAGGAGAGCTATGAGGCGAGTGATTTTCACTCATCCTCATAGTTCGAGCCGACGTGTGACAATGAAACTGTCACAGGTCGGCTCAATAGATCGGTAAGTGAGCGAACACATACCGTCGCTCGCTTACTTCTCGATCATCTCCCTGCAGAGAGCCAGGACTGTCACTCACGGCTCCCTGCAGGGATTCCCCCCATCCCAGCTCCGATCCTCCAGTGCTGAGTGGAGGAACAGACTGGGAGGGAGCGGGTACAGCTAGCTCTGCCTCTAGATAGGCAAAGCCAGCTGTCAAACACGCAGCTAGGTGGATCTCGCTAGTGATGTCGGGAATCCGTCCCGGCTGCGGCAGCTCGCGGTATACTGAGCTTTGAGTCACGGGAGGACGCTAGTTTATGTCATCCCGTGACCCTTCAGAGAACTATGGGGAAAAGCCCTGACCCCATAGTTCTCCTTTAACCTCCCTGGCGGTAAACCCGAGTGTGGGTCGGGGTCAATTTTCATTACCAAAATCGGTAACCCCGGGCCACACTCAGGATTACACTGTAGTATCTTACCTTGTCCACGATCCCCGCTGTGTCCTCCGACCGATGCCGGCATCCGTCCCTTGCGAGCGCCCGCGGAACCGGCGGGAAATTTGAAAGTAAAAAAGCGGAAAAACAAAAACGGAAAAAAAATAGAAACAAAAAAGGAAAAAAAATTAAGAATCAGACCGCCAGGGAGGTTAAAGACTTGGGGTGTGTTTTCACAGATCAACAAAAACAGGCCATCCTCACCATGTCCTGTAAATCCTCTATGGCATGTAAATATTATGAAATGGGCTACAAAATACTTTCCCGCTGGTATAGAGTGCCATGGCTTTTGCATACAATGAATGCCTCCATACCTGATGGTTGTTGGAGATGCAGCTCAGATGTAGGAACTCTGTTACATACTTTTTGGTCCTGTCCGAGGCGAAGACCTTTTTGGTATCAAGTGCTTTCGATTACTGAGGATCTGACAATGGTAGACCTCCAGGACAACCCGGCTGCTTGATTGTGAAGGTCCCCACACACCTTACGATAATCGTACGATAATGCGGGAAATCCCGCGATCGTATGATTATCGTAAGGTGTGTGGAAGCCGTGCGACCTCTACTACTGTAAGATCGCACGACTTTGAACTTACGGACATGTTCGAAAACCCGCCGAGCATCGTACGACGTTCGGCGGGTTTGTGGCATGTCCGTACGATAACAGCCGTACAGGCCGGTGTGCGCAGGCGCACACTGCCCGTTTCGGCATTGCGGTAATCGGAAGCCCGCCCCTCAGGGGGTGTGGCTTGCGATCATCGCAAGTACGATCTGCCTATGCAAGATAGGCAGATCGTACGTTTTTTTAAGTACCTTACAACCATCGCAAGACAAAAGTCTTGCGATGGTTGTAAGGTGTGTGCCCAGCCTTACACATGACTTCTGGATCGCTGTCCAGATACAAAAACTCTCTGACGCATCATTTGTTAAATGCGGCAATGGTCTGCGTTGGAAAGATACCAATTCACCGACTATACAGATGTGGCTCTCTAAGGTGAATGACATATACACCATGGAAGACTTGACACCCTCCCTGCAGTATACAGAGGGGAAACTCTCTCTGCCACTTGGTAGGCGTGGCCGCGTGGACTTACTTTCAGTACTCTGAGCGCTACCCTGAACTGTTATCCTCTGAAGTACCCTGTCTGCTCAGCTCTTATTGAATACTTCAGTTGATCATCCTCTAAAGCCTTTACATAGGATTATGACTAGAGATACACTGATATATCGTCCGCCGAAACTGGCGCTTTTGGCATAATGCCGAATGTGCCATTTTTTGGCCTATACAGCGTTGCATCCGTGTATTCTCTTCTCCCCGCTGGGCGCTGCTCTGTGTCCCAGCATGGAGGAGAGAAACTGTGACAACCGGCCGAGCGCTGCGGGAGAAGAGCGCTGTGAGCGGCCGACGTCTCTCCTCCCACACCGCTCAACTTCCTGTCACAGATGGCAGAGCGGTGTGGGGGCGGAGACAGCCAGCGCTGTCACAGGAGGCTGAGCTCTCCTCCTTGCACAGCTCGCTCAGCCTCCTGTGACAGCGTGTCAGAGAGGAGAGCGAGGTACAAACACTCAGGGATCACTGATCGCTGAGTGTTTGTAGATAATTGAGGACAGAGTATGGTTACTATATCCCCAATTATGAATGAAAGGGAAGTGCTCTACATCACCTCCTGTTCATTCATGATTGTGGTTATAGTAAGCATACTCTGTCCTCGTAATATGAATTAACAGGAACACTCAGTATAGAGGATTCCTGTTCACTGATAACAGGGGCTGCAGAAAAAGAGATTGAGGAATATGTGTTCTCAATCTATTTTAAAATGGAAATATCAGGGATCTGTTTAGACCCCCAATATTTCCCCCGAAGCCCCTAAAAAGTAAAAAATACAAACATTTAATAAAAAATGAATAAATAACAATTTTAAAAAAATCAAAAGTTTATAAAAAATAAATAATAAAAAATTTGAAAAAATTCAAATAAAAAACAAACATTTTCGGTTTCAGCCTGACATTTTTTTTAACTTCAGTTTTGAAATTTGCATGTCAGTGCACCTCTAATTATAACATTATGTTATGTTCATTAGGATACATGGCGTTTTTTCAACGGTGCTCAGAGGGGTGGCCCCTGTTCTTCTGGGCCTCCTATTCTTCTTTTGTTTCTCCTCCTTTCTACTCTCTTCTTTCTCTACATTACCCTCGCTCTTCACTGCTATATTCTTTTTCTATGGAATGTGCATCCACTAGTTCAAATCTCTGGTATGTAGTCCAGAAAGACTACTGTTCTCTATGCTATTCTTGATTTGCTGAGTTATGCATACGGGATGTACTGTACCATTACTATTTTGTTTGAAAGTTACATGTTTTGCATTCTAGAAGATCCGTTGTTAGCACTTGTTTATTACTTGTCATTTGTGATAAAACCTATATGTTTTATATTGTGGTTGTCATGGCAGTATGTTTTACTATTTGTACCGAATTCTTGTATTTTTGGACTGCATTCAGTCAATAAAGAATTTGTAGAAAAAAAAAAAAATCCCTCTTAAAATACATTAACAATACAGTACAATACATGATCTCTGATGAAGTGAAGGATCAGGGAGTATCTCCCCCATTCCCAAACAAATTCCTATTAAAGGGAACTTGCAGACTTGTGTGAAAATCTGTGTGTCAATCACACAAGCCAGAAATGTCAGCGGCAGGGCCCTCCTTACCATCTTGTCTTGAATTGTATTGTGATTGTAATGTCTTCCTTATATTGTAAAGCGCTGCACATATAAATCCTGTATAATAATAATAATAATAATGTAGCAATTTTATATGCTAAATTATTAAATTTTTTTTACGTAAATGGCGTTCTCCTTTAAAGGCTAACTCTAGATTTTCGACCACGTTTCATGGTATAGCCATATTTGGGGTGTAACATGAGACACATTGTCCCATACGCCATACCCTAAACCCAAAGCCCCTAAATCACGAGTTGCATCCTTTTATGCAGGGATTTGTGATCTTTTTAATTTAGCCTCGCAAATCCCCACCATCCATGCCTGGGACAATTCCTACATGCCACATCTGCCACCACGACAGAGGGACTCTATATAGGAAGTGCCAGCGATCCCTCCTCTTCATCATGATCCTTTTTTCAGCCTCTTAACAGCAGTCCTGTACTTCTGTACAGACCTGGAGTTGGGGATAACATTGCAGGAGCCTGTGCAATGCTCTGCAGCTTCAATGCAAAAATAAATCAATGCACATTGATCATTCGATGTGCATTTATTGCAGCATGTACTACTGTTTGCAAAAGGTGGACTAAGCCTTATGGGTAGAGCCCGAAAGTAATATAGGATCTTGGGGAGCAGCGTCATTTTGAGTGCATGAATGCGACCCAGCCATGACAAATTGCAGGAGTCCCATCGAGACATATCCTCCCGAACTGGACTAAGCCTTTAGAACGTTTAAATGTATATATACTTTACAGAATTTTTCACACCTGCCTAAAACTTTTGCACAGAACTATGTATTATATACAGCTATGCAGGGGCATCCCGAGGCTGGGTGACACCTCGCCGTGATGTTCCTGCGCGCGTGGTCGTCTCATTGATGCCTGCTGGCGGCCATCTTGGTGATGGACGTCAGGAGAGAGAGAGAGAGAGAGAGAGAGAGAGAAGGTGTGTTTACCCGGCGGGTCCCCTCCTCTTTCCTGACACTGTTGGGCTCTCGGTCGGTGACTGAGTGCCTGAATTTTCATAGGGGGTGACACCAAAATGACTGTCAGTCATTTTGGTGTCACCCCTCCAAAGGTGGCACCCAGGTGCAGGCCGCACCCACCTTGTGAAGCCACTGCATCTATGCGTGTGTGAGTATACCGCAAACCCTAAGCAGTAAAGTGCAGGTTTGAAAGTGTCTACGCACTTTTGCAGCCAAATTGGGACTGTGGAATCCGCCCACTGTTGTCTGCTGTCACTCACAAGGGTGGTGGACCTGATGGGGAACTCAGAGATATGTTTGCCCATCAGGTCCGCCTCCCTTGTGGCTGACAGTCATGTATTTGGCTAATGATGTCAGTCAGC